CGTTGACTTCTTCCCGTTTGTGACTCTTCAGTTTGGTCACTAGAGATGAAATATGTACGATGCTCCTGTCAGGAAGCTCTCAAGCTCCTGAGATGGTGCACGTCTCAGGTAGGCTCTCCTCACGATGTGCATAAATCTCTGAGGACGGGGGTGCTGCAGCCACTTGTCACCACACTCAGGAGGCTATTTGTTATTCCTGGTCTGTGGGACCTGACGTTCCCGGTTGGCAGCTGGAGCACATCTAACGGCGCCCTCTGCCCCCGCCGTCCCCCGAGGTTTGCTCCAGTGAAATAGGACGTGGCTCACAGAGATTCACCAGGGAGCTCCGGGGACTCTAGCTGCGTTTTTTTTTTTTTGACAGATGAGCCACGAGATTGTGGGACTTCCATCACCTTGTTACAGACATTTAAAGGAATCCGGGACAATATTTAAATCCAGGAGGTACGTTTCACCGAGTGGGGCTTTACCGTTCTTTGGTTTGACGTTGTTTCAGCTGCCATCAAGGATGTAAATGTTACAGATACAAAGGACATTGCTGGTGCTTTAGCTCACCTAGTTAAACGTCGGACTCTCATGCAGAAGACCTGGGTTTGATTCTGGATGTGAACATAGTTTATTTAGAGTTTCTTTTTTACATTAATGGTATTTTTTTTACAGTAAGATGCCCAGATATTTATTTGAGACTCGCCGAACGGCATTGAATTCACAGATAAAAAAGATGTGGGTTCAACTTTCATTTTGGAACAATTTTTCAAGCAAGGGAAGGGAATGATCTGAGCATGCAGGAGGACTGACCCATCATAAACCTTTGTCGGCTGTGCTGAAGAGAAAGCTACAGAACCAAATTATTTAATTAATTAGCTGTGCGTTCTCCTGTCCTCTGTCCTCCGGGCCACACACACACACACACACACACACACACACACACACACACACGGAGCTGACTGTCAGCTGTTATTTTCGTTAAGGAGTGTGCACGTACAGCATGCGTGCCTCGTGCACGAGCCTACTATTGAAGCTGCTGTTACGCTTTTGGCCTGAAGGGGCAATCACGAGCATAAAAATTCAAAAGTCCGTAAAGTCCCTTTAAGATTCATCCCCATTTTAATTATTTTCTACTAAAAACATATTTTGTCTTTCTTTCTTTCTTTCTTTATGGAAAATTTCAACACTAAAGGTTTGAGAAATAATTTGACTTCTTGTACCCATTTGGTGTTATTTACTTTTTCCTACTATCTTCACACCTACTTGTTTATTTATGCACCACTGACAATATTAATGCATATATGCACTAACTGCATCTATGGTTTGTTTGTTTTAGCTCGCTGCTTCCCTTCCTGATCCGTACTCATCCAGAGTCGGAAAACCCGTGTTTTTAATAACCCTCACGGAGACAGATTAACATGAGTTTTACTTAGTAAAGAGAGAAAATGAAAACGCGCCTTGGGTTTGCTGGTCAGGTTGGCCCGTGCTTCCATCACTGTGTTTGTTTATGCGTTAGTTCTGCAGTCTGCACCTGCGGAAAGACAGAAGAAAGCCAAAAGTAGCAGAGCCCGTCCGGTTTCTTCCGTTAAAAAGAAACTTGAATTATGCATTCCATTCATTATTAATCCTCACTCATGTATGCATTATTCAGTGTGCAGGGATCCTGGTGTTCATACTCACAATTAAAGCATCAGTGGAACAACGACATTTAGTTCATGAGTGGGTAACCACCAACACCGGAGGCTCGGGGTAACCTGCCTTCACTAATCGTTTGGAAAAGGACGGTTTTCTCCTGGAAGTGCAGCTCAACCTCAGGCTCCTTTAATGAGTCTACAGCCCTCCTCCGGATTATCCACACTCCTATGAAGATGTGTCAATTGCACGACCAGAGGACACGTCTCCTGGGATCCCTGATGAACAGAGTGGACAGCTCTGCTCCGTCTAAAAGAGACCCTGAGGGTGAAGGGCGAAGACAGTGTCGTTACCGGCCCGTAAACCTGAAACCAAATTACTCCAATTTTAATTTCTACTCAAATGAAATTATTATTATCTCTGCAGAGCCTTAACGGGGTCATTGAGGGGTTCTGCAGGTGGACTTAAAGAGCTCAAGGAGGCAAACGATGAGTAAATCAACATATGAAACCTGATTTAGTTTTAAAGGGACTTTACGGAGTTTTGAATTTTTATGCTCGCGATCGCCCCCTCAGGCCAAAAGCGTAACGGCAGCTTCAATAGTAGGCTCGTGCATGAGGCGCGCATGCTGTACGTGCACACTCCTTAATGAAAATAACAGCTGAGACAGTCCCTTGTGTGTGTGTGTGTGTGTGGCCCGGAGGACAGAGGACAGGAGAACGCACAGCTAATTAATTAAATAATTTGGTTCTGTAGCTTTCTCTTCAGCACAGCCGACAAAGGTTTATGATGGGTCAGTCCTCCTGCATGCTCAGATCATTCCCTTCCCTTGCTTGAAAAATTGTTCCAAAATGAAAGTTGAACCCACATCTTTTTTATCTGTGAATTCAATGCCGTTCGGCGAGTCTCAAATAAAAATTTGGGCATCTTACTGTAAAAAATATACCATTAATGTAAAAAAGAAACTCTAAATAAACTATGTTCACATCCAGAATCAAACCCAGGTCTTCTACATAGAAGTCAGACGTCTTACTAGGTGAGCTAAAGCGCCAGTGATGTCTTTTGTGTCTGTAACGTTTATATCCTTGATAACAGCTGAAACAACGTTTAAAGAACGTTTCGGGTTGAAAATGGCTATTTTGTTGCTAATTAGCAGGAAATATCTAGAAGAAAGTTCTACAGAAAGTAGCTAAGGGTCCTCAGAAATGTAGCTAGCTTTGTCACTAGGCGTTAGGAACAGCGACAAAGTGGCACTGCCTCTCTCATTCTACAGGACCAGGGCATTGCAGGAGAACGTATGAAGAAGACATTTATTATTTCTACACATGTTTTGGCCGTCACACTTCCATAATGCCCCTTTAATTACAGGATTATTTAGGCAAAAATATCAAGATGTTTCTGTTGAACTTGGCAAGGCAATTCCCGCTACTGGTGGTGGGCATCAGTAGTCCGCACACCTGTGTGCTCAAGCACAGGTGGAGGAAGAGGAGTGTGATCGCAGGCGATGTGGCGGCCGACCAGAAGCCTACAGACGCCGTCTCTAAACGGAGACGCTGGGTTGAGTTGTGTGCGTGTAACCCCTGCTAGCTGCTTCTGCTACAAAACTAAAGGTGGTAACTGGTGTGAAACGTGAGAGATTTCCTTGCTGGTTCAAACTAGCAGTTAGCGTGTCGCTCCTGTAGGAATTCAAAACTATTTCTCTTAACAGAGGCTGTTCAGAGTAGGAAAGTGATCATTTACTGCTTTAATAAAACATCTATTCCGGCAGCTGAGACCAACCCAGCCAGAGTTTCAATAACACTTTTTTCCCCTCCAACAACAATTCAGGCGAAACCGCAGCAGTCGAGCTCTCGCTCCACCAACAAGGACGGATGACACCAGACGCGTCAAACCCAGGACAGGTCTAAGAACTCTGTTTATGATCCATTTGGTATGCAGCCCAGCGTCCTGCAGAGCAGAACAGAGAACCACCAGGTGAGAACGTGATGGAGTTTCCTTTAGTGAGATGAGGAGACGAGGACATGTCCCTCCTGTCTCTGGAGGCTAAATCACAGCGATGCTTCAGCCTGGAGGACATAAATTCATTCCATTTTCCAAATGAGGCACCTTTACCTTCAGTGTTCTCTAACGGGACGCTGTTGGACGAAACCAAGACGTGGAAATCTGTCAACTCGATAAATAAGGAATAGATCCGTTAACGCTTCTGCTCCAAACCCTGTTTGCAAGCTGAAATCAGCCAACAGGTTCCTTTACGATGAAAGCCGCTGTCAGCCGGTTTTCCCGCCCACTTGTACAGTTGAGTTATTTAAAGTTGACAGACAGAAAATTTTATTTAACCAAATTTTATTCAGTTCCACATTTTTTGTGAGAACGGTCCATTGTCTCCCAGGAAACGGCCACGGTCCTTTACTGAACTCCTCATCCATCCATCGCCTGAACCCGCTTGTCCACGTAGGGTCACGGGGGGGGGGGGAGGGGGGCTGGTGCCTATCTCCAGCGGTCAATGGACAATCAGGCGGGGTACACCCTGGACAGAGCCAGTCCATCGCAGGGCAACTCCTCATGATGAAAAGACTTCATTCCAAACAGATAACGAGCTGATCGCTCAGTAAAAAACTCGAGTTGTTTAAACGTTTCCTCAAGTTTTAACTCGTCTTCAAGTCTGGAGAAGAATCATTTACTCTGTGATCTTTAGACTGTAACCATGACAACCGCATTAGCGCGTTAGAGCAACACACTGCTAGTAACCATCCATCAGCCCACAACACACCTGCCTTCTAGTTAAAGGAGCAATATGTAAGGACCTTACTGTGAAACCCCTAAACGATGGAAGGAAGGTGGCACAGTGGAACTATTCCCCATCTTTACAAACTGAGGCTGTTCAGGTATTAGTTACAACCCTTCATCGGGTGACCTGTTCAAATGCGTTTGCTTGAAGCGAGTCCCACAGCTGCGGACGCTCTCAGGAGAGCGGAGCGGCTGTGTGTCAGTGTTTGGTTCTCAGGTGTTGAAGACCAGAAACGGGAGCGTGGGGTTGGAAAAGCTCCGGTCCCCGAGTGTCCGAAAGTGTAAAATGTTAAAGCAGATCAGAGAAATTAGGTTTTCAGACAAAACTATAACTGGGTCGTCCATCTTGATTCGTCCTTGACCCCCCCCCCCCCCCCCCCCACACACACACACACACACACACACACACACACACAGCAGACTCCACAAAACCAGCTCAGACACCCGACCCTTAACATCCAGAACCTCCATAAGCCCTAACCATTCCAAACATCACCTGGTTCTGCTGGAGGGTTTGTTCTACACCAAGTCTCTTCTGTGACCTCTGACCTCCTACACCCCTTTGATGTCCACGCAGCAGAAACTAGACGACAGACTGAGGAGAGTTGGTTTAATCCCAGTTTGGTGTCGTACAAACACTTGCTGTACATCAGATTTACACGAGTCTCCACCCCAGCTCCACGCCTGGGCAGAGTTCTAGCCCACATGACCCACAGAACCAATCAGAGTCACCGACCACAGGCTGGTCAGGAAACAGGAATGCGGACAAACTGAAACCAAAATCAGCGCTTTATTCTTTATAACGGTGAACTCGTCAGACGAAGAGCTGAGATGGACGATGGTCGAAGACCGCGAGCTGGAGGCGCTTCGGGCGTCAGACGCGTTCTCTCGTCCCGTAAAACCTTTTTGGGTTTTTTCTGATAATAAAATCAAAAGTCTGAAAAATTAAATCACAGAATATATAATAACTCTTTCAGGTCCTTTTCACGTAGAAACGCTTTCATTCTTCTTCGCTCTCGTTCCCGTGCTCCATGTCCTCGTCTCCGTTGGTTTTGGGTTCTGTTCTGCTGTCGGAACCGTCCTCTTCCTCTTCATCCATCCCCTCCTCCTCCTCTTCGTCGTCCCAGTGCTGAAACAGCAGGTACAACACCTCAGAGCCCGGCTCAGGCTTAAACTTCCTGCTGAAGGTCTTTACTCACATCAGAGTCATCCTGAGGAAGAGCTTCATCGCCAGAGGCCTCGTCTTCATCAGATGATTCTGCAAACAGAGAGACGCCGTTTTCAGCCCCTCGATAAAAGAGGTTCACAAGTTCTACAGGACATCTGCATCTGAATGCAGCGGAGAGAGACCAGAATCCAGTAGACATTTTGCCGCTTTGGAGTCAAAAAAAAAAAAAAACCCGCTTACACGTCTGAGGGGAGGTTACCGTGACAACGGCGTACGGATGACATCACAGGGAAGTTGTGTTTATTGAAGCACCAGTGGAGCCGTTTTCAGGCCACAAAAACCAGATCGAGTCTGACGCAGAAGAACAAAGTCCAGATCAAGCTGAGCCTATTGGGAGAGGTGCATGATGGGAAAAGGCACCAGAACCGGAGCCGTTTTACCTGCTGACTCAACATCGCGTCTACCTGAGATGACTCACGGCTACAAAGGGACTGAATCCCATCGCTATTGCTAAGAGCTAAAAACTGAAACTGGTGCCGATGGGATTTAAATCCAGTTCAGGTCTACATTAGTGCAAACAAGGAGTTTCTAGTTCCTACATGAACGTCTGAATCCGTCAGTGAAGGTTAGGGTTGGGCATCGAGCATCGATCGGAACCGGTTCCAACTGTTCGTTTTTCCTGGAATCGTTTAAAGTTTTTTATTTTGATTCCTAGAATGCCGACGGAAGAGGAATCTGCGGCCGATCTCCGTGAAAAATAAACGTGATCTGCTTTTCAGAGCTGATCACACCAGCTGTCTGTGTGCAACACGCCGCCCCCCCCGATGTAAACAAACGCGTCTGGCGAACCTTTACTCCGTGACGTAAACTTTAGCTCCTGCAGCGTAGAGGAAACGTGTTAAACACGTCAACACGGTGGATTTAATAGAAGCTTTAAAGAACAAACTCCGGACGGTGTGAGGTGAGTTTGTCTCACTGCAGAAATAAAAACACACACGGAGCGTAAGCAGTCAGACGCAGCCGCTCACCAACACTCGTGTGTGTGTGTGTGTGAGTGAGTGAGTGTGTGTGTGTGTGTGTGTGTGTGTGTGTGTGTGTGTGTGTGTGTGTGCGTCAGAAGGCTGAACAATAACCTGTAGAATAATTAAAGTCATCATGCTGGAGCAGCTTCTCTGTGGTGGACCACACCAGCTTCTGCCATAATAAATAATTAATAATAATTCATAATAAATAACATTTTAATTTCCTTTCTGAACTATTTCTGTTGAGTTTTAATGTTTATAATCTGTTAGCTTGTTACTGACAGCAGCTACGTTTAAGTTTCACTTCCTGTTGTGACTGAAGCTGCTGCAGCATGGAGGCGTAGCTCTCAGTCATCCTGGACATGATCATCCTGAGAGTTTTAGCTGGAAACAGCTGGACGTGTCTGGATGTGTTGGAGACATTTAGCCTCTCATCCCAGAGGCTGCTTCCAGACGTTGGGTGTGGTCAGAAACAAACACACGGGTTGTGCTGCAAGTCGTCTTCTTTTTGTCTCCAAAACATGTTTGTGTCTAAATGAAGGCGATGTTGTTGTTCATAGAGTTAAAATTCATGTTAAAGTTCAGATTATTTCATCCAGTAGGACCTGTGGTCAGCTGGCTCATGTAAAGCATGTCATGTCTTTAAAGAACCGGAATTGAAACGAGGAACTGGAATCGGAATCGTTCAAAATCAAACGATACCCAACCCTAGTGACTGTATTCATCTTTGTTCCCTGTGATGAAACCTTTAGGGCGGCGTTTAGTCCAGGCCCACCGGGTCCTCCATCCTGCCCGTTCTGGATGTTTCTCCTGGTTTCGTAGCTAAACGGGCTCAGGTTCTGCAGCAGGGCTGATTTAAATCGAGGCCAGAACACAACTGAATCCTGTAGCAGCACGTGTGACTTACGACTCATCGCTTCCTGCTGGAAGTTTCGGGATAAAAATCTGCAAAGTGTGTTTTGTTCTGTGGGTTTTCTGGCTTTGAAAGGAAGTGGGAGGTTTTTTATGTGCTCAGAACTTCGGAGCAAAAGGTGACTTAATGTCCTAAAAGCACAAAAAACACAGAAATTTCAGCCTGACGGCTTTCAGGTTCTTTTCTGTTTCATGTAAAAAGGTTCTGAAGCAAATGAGAAGCACTCGACATGTCGGGGACTTAGTAACACCCACTTTGACAAATGGCTGCAGCAGAAAGCGTGTATGCTGTGCCGAAAGTCCTTCTGTTGATGCCTGATGGACTCCTAAAAAGCTTCTTGATCAGAGAGAAGCTCGTGTGAACGCGGAGGTCTGCGGATCGGCGAGGAGCAAAGCGGCATTTGTTTGGTTAGAATTGAGGCGTTTTTATCCACGGAGATAATGGTGTGAATTTGCGGCCACTCAGCTGAACTCTGGGAGGACGCTGAATGAAAATCCTCTCCGAGCCGAGCCGACTGTCAGACTGTTGTGATTCAGCAGCCAGTCAGACGGGCCTGAAGCTTCCTGTCACATTCTCCAGCTGAAGCCGTAATAAAGCCGAGCAGCGGCGGCGGCGGCAGCCTCGCTAATAAAAAAGAACACACATCCTCTTCCTGCTCATCAGCTTCTTTCATTAAGTTTTCTGCTGGATGCCGTCTCACATCCTGGACCGCCGGCGAGGGATTGGAACTCCAGGCGCAGGTTAATTATTTCATGAAAGCCAATTTTCCTCGTGGTTCAATAAAGCGTTTTGTACAGTACGGTAATGAGAAACGAGAGCGAACAGAGCAGAGCCTTGTCACGCCGCTCAGAGGGAGGGTCGCCTCGCTGCCGGTCTGGTTGCCAGGCAACAGGGGCTGCGTTTGCGTGCGGAGCATCACCAAGAGCGCCTTCATGAAACTTGAAGCTGGAGTGGTGGATAACTGGAGGTCAGCGAGGAGAAGTGGATCATGGGAAGATGGCGGGAGGACAGAACTCACCCTCTTCATACACCAGCTTAGCCGTGTGCTCCACCTCTGACACGGCGTTGCTGCGGTCGTCTGTCGCCATCTGGTGGTGAAACAAAGGAGAGTCAGCTGGAAAAGAACAGTTTTATGGTTTTTGCGGTTTGATGTTCTGCTGCAGAAACGGGGTCCAGATGCATCAAACATCCGTCAGAAGCGGGCAAAAACCGTCTCCGTGCAACAACAACGCTCTGATGTCATGCCCAACCACAGCGCCAGCTTTAATCTGCTGAGTAGTAGGAATTTGTATTTGCCCGAATGCTTTAACCTGAATGACTTCATGTTGACCTTTGACCTTTTGAAAGGCCGCTTGGCCTGAAACTTTCTCCGCGTGTACATCCCTCACATTTAAATCCTCAATTTTATGTTCTTCTCTTTAATGAGCATAAGCAATAATCTAATTTAACTGAAAACATATCAAAAACAAATATACGCACTCACTCATTCATATTTATTCATTCATTCATCATGCATGTAAAAATGTTTAATTGCACAAGAATCTAGAAAGTTTTTGGGAATATTGTTTGATAAGAATCCTTTTTTTTTGCTGTGACGACCGGAAGCTCCAGAGACCACAAGGTGGCGATAACGCACACTTGGTCCTCAATAGCCGGGGTACCTTTTTCAGCACAACACCTCCTAGAGCACCCCGACTTTCCTCTGTGGGTTTATTTTACGAGTGGACGTCAGGCACTCTCCTCAGACTTTTAACTCTAATTACTTTTCTCATTTATTTGATTTAAAATATCGTTTTATTTTGTTTATTTTAATTTAAACGACTAAACGTTAGTTTTTACGTTTTAGAGGTCCGAAACATCGAGAAATGCTTAAAAATCTCAGGTCAAATGCTGAGCTACAGACCTAATAATAATAATAATAATAATAATAATAATAATAATAATAACGTTTTGATTTCGGTTAAAAATGCTGACTGTCAAAAATGCATGAAGCACATTTAAAAACGAAGATCGGCAAGTAAAAAAAGCAAAGTTAGAGAAAATATCTGAAATTTCCATAAACACGGATGCTCCTCTAACAGGAAATCTGGAATGTTCTGATTTTAGAAAGTATTCAAACTCATCGGGTATTACATATTTAAACACATATGCTTTAATGTTGTAAATAAAAATGGCTTAAGACAAATCTGGTCAGGTTAACGCGACTCCCGCTACGGCGTCCGGTGGCGAGGAGACTTGGCGAGTTTCCAGGCTCTTGGAGATTTACAGGAATAATCTCAGGGAACTTGAGATTCTGCTGGATTTAAAGACTTTAATCATGAAAGTTTTGTTGTTTCTGTTTGATTCTTGCAGTTTTACCTTCAACCATCAACAGGGTATATACAGCAATCCTTAAGTAAAATTTACTACTTTTTAATACTTTTTTTTTACTACCTTCAGAATTTTTTTAAAACCATCACAACACTTAATTGCAAGTGTTAATCAGCGACCTATTTACACATATTTTAACATATATAACATACAAAAAGAATAGACTTAGAGACTCACTGATGTGGACAATGTATTGCATATATTTATTTTACTTAGAAAATAAGCCAGGCACTTCTGTTCAGCGGTTCAGACAGTTGACCACGAGGCCTGAAATGATGCACAACGACCACTGAATATGACGTCATCATTATGTGACCGGATATGCTAAAGTAGGGCTGCTCGATTATGGCAAAAACAATAATCACGATTATTGTGACTGAAATTGAGATCTCGATTTTTTAAGACGATTTTTCAATTCATGTAGATTTTTGTTTTTGTTTTTATTCAGTCATAAAACTGCTCAGGGCACAATCAGGGCAAAAATAAACAAGAAGCAAGATGATCACTAAAATAACTCCCGATTCCCAGTATAAAAAGACCAATGTACTTGTGGCAAGGTGGATAAATGAGAGCCCAGGCAGGATTCGATCCCCAGACTCCCAGGTGAGAGTCATACTCTCTAACCAGTCAGCCAAAGAGACATCCCCTTGGCCAAGTAGCCAGGACGCATAATCCATCAGGACACTGTGACAGGACACTCACACTGCCACATACTTATAGCTCATAGTTTATGATCCAAGGGCTATAGACCTTGGTTTAACTCATTTAAGTCTAACTAATACAGACCCAAATACCAATATCTTGCAAATACTGACAACAAGAATTATACAGTGGCATTTATAACAAATACATGCAAATTGATGTTCACAAAATTTTGCATAACATTTATTGAGTCCTGTCAAGGTGCTCTAGGAGAGTGCACTAGCACCGTGTCCTCAGAGAGGTTAGTTATTAGTTATCAGCGTGAGGAACTCATTTCTACCTTATTTATAAACTATTTATTTACAAGTCGTCCATCAGTTAATGTAATAATTGTCACAACCACAGCTGCACCCCCAACCCGGTCTCACAGCAATCGGGGGCAAGCTGCACGCGCCGCACACGCACATTTAGCCGTTTTTAGCGGCTCAGGAGTCCGCAGGTACGGTGTGTGTGTCACTCACTCTGGTTAATCCAACATGAAGCCGGCTCCGAGAGCTGTCTTTAGCGACTATCATTCCCTTTCCTAATGTCCTGAAGAACGGTCCGCAGAGCAGGCGGAGTGTTTAGCTAACCTGCAGGAAATGTCGACCACAGTTATCCAGAAAGTAGCTAAGGGTTACCAGAGATGTTTCTGAGGTGTTCGCTAGGTACTTTTAAGATTTAAAAAGTCAAGAAGGGGTCTGAAAAGCTGTTGGAAATAGCGTCAAAGTCGCTAAGTTGGCAACACTGTGGAGGAGCGCTTCATTTGCAACTCAGGGCAGCGTAAGTGGGAGGAGCACATAATCGGCTTGTTTAGTTTTTATAATCGTTCATAACATTTCATTCGGAATATATTTCTATGTCGATGTTCAGAATACGACCCCTGATAGTCCGAAAAAATTAATACCTAATTTGGAAAAAATAATACCTCTGTGACCAAATTTAACACTTTTAATGGCCTTAAATTTGACTATTTTTATTTATCACTTTTTAATACTTTTTAAAACCCCGTGGACACCCTGATCAAAGTTCAACCCTTTTAGAGCAGATTTCAGCACCCCAGCATCCCGGAGAAGATCTAGTTCACGACTTTTATCCTCCTCTGACCTAAATCGGCCATGAAGTGAAACACAAACTGAACACCGGGGGCGCTGGCGCCACCTACCTGCGTCATCAGCAGGTAGAGCTTCCCGTGGAGCCTCGTCAGCTTGTGGAACATCTTCACTCGGCTCTCTATCATGTGATAAAGGACTCCCAGCTGGATCACCAGGTCCGGCAGCTGAAAAGCACCAGATCGGGTCAGGAAACACGTCAAAAGGTCAACCCAGGTGACCCAACGGTCTTACATGGACTCACCGATGCCAGGTAGGACGTGTGGTGCATGAGGACCGCCTTGAGCCACCGCACCATCGGGAGCGCCCTGCAGGATGAAAAAGGCTCATCAGCTCAAAGCGCCGCAGCAGAACCAGAACCAGAACCGAACTTTAGCTCAGACTTACGTTAACGGGTGGCCCTGGAGCCTCTTTGTGAGCTGCGGAGGAGACAAACGGAGGATTAAAACCTGCAGCTGAGGACGCAGTCGGTACAAACCTCAGATGCTCACCTCTTCCACCAAAGGCAGGACAGCAGGGAGGGGCAGCCGGGAAACCGTCTTCTTTATCACCGTCTCCTGACGGGTTTGTAGAACTTTCTGCAGAAACAAAACAAGCATTTAATGAGAGAGACAAAGCACCTGGATGAGCAGCAGCAGAGAAGAAGAACTCACGTTTAGGATGTTGGCGTCGTTGCTCTCCAGACCTTGCACCAGCAGAACCGCGAAATTATCCGTCTGTAGCGAGGCCTCGACTTTAGGAGCCCCTTTCTTACCGGAGACCGCCGACAGATCGATCTCGTGAAGCCGCTCAGCTATCGACATCTGCAGAGGAGCGAGAAGCTGAGCGAGAATCCTCCTAAAACCAAAACGCGGTCCGGAGCACCCACCTCTTTGGTGTCGGCATCCTTTTTCCTCTTCTCCGTTCCCGTCGACGGTCCTTTCAGCGGAGCTTGGTGACCGGGAAGTCCGGGAAGCAACACTCTGCTTTTGGCGTTGACGATCGGAGTCTTCACCTGGAAGACGAGCGGAGAGTTAACGACCGTAGATCGTCCCGACTGAAAGACGGGAGAGGAAGCCTGGCTACCTTGGAGACGGTGGTTTCCATGGAGACGGACAAGCTGGTCTGAACGTCTCGGGTCAAACAGATGTGTCTCTCTGTGGTGTCGAGTTCCTGTCAGAGAAAATCTTTTCTACCAAAACTTTTCACAGAACTTGAAATCTGGGTTTGTTCCGCATTTCTTTTTTTTTTTAAACTAAAATTCCTCAAATATTTTTCACAACCAGCGAAACGATTTGTGTGCGTCTTTCAAAAAATTCATCAAAACGCCGCCGGGATGAAAGGAGGCGATAAAATGGTTCCTTTTCCTTCCGTTCTCAGTGTTTGACCAGAAAGATGGCTGCGTTCCATTCCAGGTGTTCTGAAGCAGAACTTCTGATTGGAACGCGACCGATAGGGATGGGTACCTTTGACATTTGAATCGATTCGGTACTAATTCCCGGTACCTAGGAATCGATACCGGTACTTAACGGTACCAATTTTAGATACTTTTGAGTGTTTATTATTTTTATTCTCTTTTATAATTATATATATATTTTCCTCAATTTATAACCATATTTGATAAATATCACGAGAAATAACATACAACTGTTTGTATTTTAACATCGTCCTTGTAGTTTTATAAGCTGATAATTAAACTGAAGCAAACATCTTTACTGTGAACTAAATTTACTGTGTATCTTCATTCCTTTTGCCTCCTTTTTCTTTTGATTTTTCCTACTGGGAAGTTAGAATTTCCGAGGAGAAAGCGAACGCACCATTAGCTGATAACAATGGCGGCAATGGAAGCTAATTTATCAAGCTAACGTTATCGTAAACAGTTTATTTAGCTGCTGGAGCAGATTAAAACGATGACGCCTCACACTGAGATCGTTGTCTCAGGTTTCATCTTCACCCAATCACCCGTCGCATTTAGTAAAGTGAAGCCAAACTTTAGAGCGCGTTCATGTTCTTCTAATCGGAAATTCGGAGTTCCGAGGAGAAAGCGAACGCACCATTAGTGAAACGGAAGCTAACATATCAAGCTAACATCTTAAACGTTTTATTTACCTACCGGAGCAGATTAAGATGAGGATGTCTCACTTAGATCGTTGTCGCTGGTTTCATCATCACCCAGTTACCCATCACATTTAGTGAAGTGGACCCAAGCTTTAGCGTGCGTTCTTTCTACCATGCTGCTCTGTTTACAACTGGCTCACAGCAACCGACAACATAACGCTCTTGCGCATGCGCAGCTGTCTAGGCAAGTTCTCGTTATGAAGGACGGGTACCGAAATGAGGCACCGTTTCTAATGACGTGAATCGGTGCTCGGTCGGTACTATGGAATTCGGTCAGTACCTTAAAAAGTACCAAATTCGATACCCATCGCTAGCGGCCGTCGCTAACACACCCGAGGCGCACGGGTAGTAGAAATGGCAGCTGAAGTAAAAAACAAAAAACAAAAATAAACCCTGAAACCCGACTAACTTTAACCTCGAGACTTTTATTAAAAAAAAAATAAAAATAAAAAAAACACACACACCAGAACCGCCATCCGGGTTACTCACCGCTCTCTCCATCGCCGGCTGAAGATGGCTGCCGTAAGCGAGCATCACGGATCGGGTTTCTGCTGCGAGCGCGGCCGCCAGGAGCGGGATCGGCATCGGGGACGCCTTGGAGTCGGACATCTGCACCGTACAGGAAGGCGACAGCGGCTTCTTACACGGCCTGCGGGGACACGAGTTTTAACGGCGGAGACGTGGGAGGAGTCTGATCTGACGTTAGATTTCAGAGCGTACCCGTTTAGGAAGTGCTCAAACAGATGCAGCTGCCCGTCCTCGCACACCACCGCCAGCCTCACCGCCTAGAAGAACATGTAATAAAACAAAATAAATACACAAAGTCTCCGAGGATTCACGAGCAACGGAACACCAGCAGAACCCGACCTCCTCTTTGCTGTTGGAGGCGACCAGGTCGACGTGCCTCGGCTCGCCCGTCAGCGTGAAGGAAACCACCGAATTTTTGTCCTTCCCGTCTTCCCGTACTTGCCTGCAGATAAACCTTTGCTTTAGTGAAGGAACAGAAGCAGAACCGGCGGTTCTGATGGTCGAAGGAGCTGAAAAATCCGGCCGGATGTGGACCCAGACGGGCTCTTTGTTGTTTTAGTTTTCACTAAAATATCCAGAAGTTAAACTCGATTGTTTTTAGATGAAAAACAAAAATGTTACGGTCATATATAAAACCACGATTACTCAGAAGAGTTTGCATTTATTTCTTCTCTTTGGCTGAAACAGACAGGAAGTCTACCCGCCAAATTAAGAGCCAAACACACAGAAACGGCCGCTCTGCAGGGTGGTCCCCCCTCCCCAGCTGCTGTCACTCACCAAACACTCAGGAGTCTGTCGTGCGCCGCTCCAGACAGGAAGTAAAGACCGTTGCTGTCGGGGGGTCGTGTGGTGGCGAAGCACAGGGTCGTCACAGCCGTGGAGTGGCCCGTGAATCTCTGTAGAAGGACAAAACCCAGAAGAGTCGGTTCTGCTGCTTCACTGGAACCGACGCCATAAGCCAGCAGGCTAGACGGGACTCACCCGGTAAACCTCCTTGGTCTCCAAGTCCCACATCTTGATGACATGCCCAGCTGAAAGCAGCAGCTTCCCGTCAGGACTCACGCACAGACTGGTCACCGCCGCACGATCCGCTTTCCACTTACTGCAGAAAAATACAACAAACGCATTTTAAAACCACATCTAGAGCGTGAGAGCACTCAGTGTTTATTCGTAAAGTTAGCATGACTTTGTCATCTCTTTTCCACCTGGTGTTTCATCAGCTCGAAGCAGGATCCTGATTTAAACCGAGTAAAAACAGATTATAGGCGTTTCCTGGCCAGATGAGGGACGTGGTCCCCCCGCGTGTCCTTTAGGTCTCCCGGTTGGACGTGTCCAGAAAACCTCACCAGGAGGCGACCAGGAGGCATCCTGACCAGATGCCCGAGCCACCTCAACTGGCTCCTCTCGATGTGGAGGAGCAGCGGGTCTACTCCGAGCCCCTCCCGGACGACCGAGCTTCTCACCCTATCTCTAAGGGAGAGCCCAGCCACTCTTCGGTAAACTCATTTCGGCCGCTTGTATCCGTGATCTCGTTCTTTCGGTCACTATCCAAAGCTCATGACCATAGGTGAGGGTAGGAACGTAGATCCACCAGTAAATCGGGAGCTTCGTCTTCTGACTCAGCTCTCTCTTCACCACGACAGACCGGTACAATGCCCGCATCACTGCAGACGCAGCACCAATCCGCCTATCGATCTCACTCTCCAGTTTTCCCTCACTCGTGAACAAGACCCCCGGGCAGGACCCCATCCCTGACCTGGAGAAGGCCTTCTACCCTCTTCGGATTTAGAGCCGATTTTCATCTCAGCTGCTTCACACTCTGCTGCAAATTGCTTCAGTTCAGCGCCAAAGATCACGTTCTGATGAAGCCAACAGGACCACATCATCTGCAAAAAGCAGAGACCTGATCCTCAGATCACCAAAACGGATGCCCTCCACACCTTGGCTGCACCTGGAGGTCCTGTCCATAAAGGTTATGAACAGAATCGGTGACAAAGGGCAGCCTTGGCGGCGTCCAACTCTCAGTGGGAACGAGCCCGACTAACGGCCGGTGTCGGTACCGACCGGCTCGGGGTCGCGCGCCTGATGATGACACATTCCGGCAAATCCACTCGGCTTTCACACTTGAGTTTGGGAAAGACATCCGTTTTCTTTATAACTGTAATTTGTTAATGAACACCATATTATCTTTGTTCTGTGAAGCCATATCTGTTTGTATTCATGTGGAATTCATCTGTTTATTTCCTTAATTGTTAAGTAAATACATTCATTCATTCATAATGGTTCTTACATTTTATTTTGCCCCATTTCATCAAAATAAAGAGCTTTTGGGGGTCACCGTTTATCAGCTGATATCTTTGCTTTTATTTCCTTTGGAAATTAAAACATTTTCTCTGAAAAGTGTTGATTTTGGGACTACAGGACAACAACCGCTAAAACTAAAACTGTAAATTCCTTCTGACCAATCATCATCATCGTCGTCAACGTGCCAATGTGACTTTTACAAACGTGGCATCGTAGCTTCTGTAAATCTTACGTTCAGCCAATCATCTACTGTGACGTCATTTGCAGGCGCAGGACCCCAAGCGGATCTGGTACCGACACCGGTCATACAGGGACCTAACAGCCTGTATCACACACCCCACCCCCAATCCACATGTAGACTGGTTGGGCGAACTCCCACGCACCCTCCAGGACCCCCTAAGGGTGAAGAGCTGGTCCGGAGTCCCACGGCCAGGACAAAAACCACACTGTTCCTCCTGAATCTGAGGTTCGACAATCCGTCAGACCCTCCTCTCCTCTCCAGAACCCCTGAACAGACCTTACCAGGGAGACTCACCCTGTAGTTGGAACACTGCAGTCCCCCTTTTTAAATAGGGGGACCACCACCCTGGTCTGCCAGTCCAGTGGAACACCCTCCTGATGTCCACCTCATGCTGCAGAGCCACGTCAGCCAACACAGCTCTACAACGTCCAGAGCGTTAAGGAGCTCCGGGCGGATCTCGTCCACCCCCGGAGCCTCGCCCCGAGGACTGTTTAACCACCTCAGTGACCTCAGCACCAGAGAGTGGAGAGCCAACCCAAAGCCCCCAGGCTCTGCTTCCTCACTGGAAGACACGTCGGTGGGATTGACGAGTTCTCTGAAGTATTTCGCCCACCAATCCACGTCCCTAGTAGAGCTCAGCAGCACACCGTCCCCACTGTAAACAGCGTTGGCAGGGCACTGCTTTTCCCTCCTGAGGCGTCGGACCAGTCTCCTCAAAGCCGTGCGGAAGTCTTCCTCCCTGATCTCACCAAACTCCTCCCACACCACGACAAGCACCAACAACCCTGCAGCCGCGGCTCCAGTCGGCCGCCTCAACAACTGAGGCACGGAACACGGCCCATTCGGACCTTGTGGCACAATAAAACTTTGCGCAAAAGCGAAACTAGCTGCTGACCTCCGCGTCTTGCCCGTCTGCAGGTCCCACTCTACGATGTTTGTGTCCTCTGAGCCGCTGTATAATAATCCGTCTTCAGGATGCCAGTGGACACAGTTCACTCCTCCACTGTGACCTCCATCCTGACAGAAACAAAGAGAGCATCAATAAACCAGTTTTCCTGTTTCTAAACAAAAGCCGAGTCATGGTTTAGGTTCCAAACTGACCAGGGTGCAGTGTAGCGCTCCTTTCACCGTACTGTAGACGAGCACAGAACCCGCTGCCGTGCCCATCGCCAGCAGGTCCGCCTTCGCCTCTACCTGCACCGCCTCCGATTTCCTCTTCTTTCTCTGAGGTCCCTCCTGAGGAGCATACATGTCACGATGAGGAGAGCCGATGGACGCTCCCGGCATGAAACCACTCAGCTGTTTCTGTTTACACCTCATCAGCAGACAGCGCTGCAGCCGGGTGGAACAAAACTCACATCTGCTCGTATTTTGTAGGACGACCTTCAGCTTAGGGCTGCTCAATTAATCGAATTTTAATCACGATTACGATCTGAGTTTTGAACGATTATAAAAAACATAACAAGCCGATTATTTGCTCCTCCCGCTTGCGCTGCCCTAAGTTGCAAATGAAGCGCTCCTCACAGTGTTGCCAATTTAGCGACTTTGACGCTATTTCTAGCAGCTTTTCAGACCCCCTTCTTGACTTTTTAATCCTAAAAGTACCTAGCGAACATCTCAGAAACATCTCTGGTAACCCTTAACTACTTTCTGGATAACTGTCGTCGACATTTCCTGCAGGTTAGCTAAACACTCCGCCTGTGCTCCGGACCGTTCTTCACAACATTAGGAAAGGGAATGATGCAGTGATGTGTCGGTCGCTAAAGACAGCTCTCGGAGCCGGCTCCTTGTTGGATTAACCAGAGTGAGTGACACACACACCGCACCTGCGGTCTCCTGAGCAGCTAAAAACAGCTAAATGTGCGCGTGCGGCGTGCTAAACACACGTGCAGCTTGCCCGATTGTGTGAGACCGGGGTGGGGGGTGCAGCTGTGGTCGGGACAATTATTACATTAACTGATGGGCCTGTAAATAAATAGTTTATAAATAAGGTAGAAATAAGTTCCTCACGCTGATAACTAATCTCTCTGAGGACACAGTGCTACAGCACCTTGACACGACTCAATAAATGTTATGTAACATTTTGTGAACATCAGTTTATTTGCATTTATTTGTTATAAATGCCACTCTATAATTCTTGCTGTCAGTATTTGCAAGATATTGGTATTTGGGTCTGTACTGGTTAGATTTACATGAGTTAAACCAAGGTCTATAGCCCTTGGGTCATAGACTATGAGCTATAAGTATATTGGTCCTTTTATCCTGGGAATCAGGAGTTCTTTTAGTGATCATCTTGTTTCTTATTTTTGTCCTGATTGTGCCCTGAGCAGTTTTATGACTGAATAAAAACAAATAAAATCAACATAAATTGAAAAATCGTCCTAAATAATCGTGATCTCAATTTCAGTCACCATAATCGTGATTATTATTTTTGCCATAATCGAGCAGCCCTACTTCAGCTCTTAGAAACATTTGCTTTATTTCTTTGTAAAACGCGGTTCTGACCAGAGCCTCTGAGCTTACTCTTTGGACAAATCAAGAATGAAAATATCTGAATATTTTTAAACTTTAGATCTTAAAAGTTGCAGAAACCATTTAAGAGTTGCTGTAATTAAGCAAAAATCACAAGTTAATGCTAACTTAAACATTCGGGGGACTCAGGTCGTCTGCTGACCACATTACTGAGCAGATGGGAGTCCTGAACTTGTCCCTAAGTGGAGCCGACCCGGATCACAACACCGACTCTGCAGCCACAATGCATGATGGGAACATCCCTACAAACTCTGATGCTTCCATCACTCAGTCTTTTACAATCGTTTCGCTTTTATTATAAAATTACAATCAACCTTGCAAATATTAGTGCTTCGCTCAGAAAAACCCGACTGTAATCCAGCTGTGCTTCTTTATGTTCCACTGCTGCACATCTGGACAAACAAATACCCATTCCACCACTGAACACCGCCGTAGATTTTAAACCTTTCCTATTGTTGTTCACTAACATTCACTGTTAGTTTACATTATTCTGACACTTCCACTGATTGTGTAGACTTATTTTTCATAGCTGTTAAACACAGATATTTTAAGTTTGCGGTTGTTTAACCTCACCGGATTAACAATTTTAACCCTCAAATTTTAAAATACCATGGCTGATCTAATCTCAGTATTTTCCTCCCAATCTCAAAGCTTCTCCAAACAATTTAGTGGATTTTTTTTTTTTTACTAATTTCCAGTTTGATTTTAGCAGCATTTTATTCATATTAGTTTATATTTAGTTGATGAAGCCTAATTTTCTTTGCAAACTAAAACCTCATGCTGACAGCTAATCTGTCTAACTTCAGGTAACGTTGCTTAAGAAAAGAACATTTTCTCGGAATGAAAAAAACCTGTCAGATTAAATCTTATATTTTAACAGAACTTTTTGTTTACTTAATCGCTGAGCATAATCTGTATCTTATTAGCTGAAATGATCACTATTGTGGTGAAGCTTCAGCATCCTTCTTGACTAATGACATCATTTATCAACTGTCACTATTAAGTAGCAGTAGCGATGATGCTAACTCAAATAGCGGCTTTACACGCAGCATTATCGGCCTAAAAACAACAGAAAACTATTTATATGATCGTTCGGCTCGTTTACTGTCTCTTTCTAGGCCCGCTGACATCGAAACACCAAGTTAAAACACTCTCCGTGGTCCCTTTCCCCACCATGTGGGTTTTACACGAACATGTGCGTGTTGCTAATGTAGCCACCAGATGGCTAAGTCGTACAAAGTGGTGCATAGCACTAAGAAGCTGATATTTGAACGTTGTTACCACTTCTCGTTGTGAAAACGCAACCTTTGTGCGTTTTTTACGTGTTCACTAAGATAAAACACAGCACCCTCTGTCTGCTCAGGCCTCGTTAGCTGCTGCGGCTAACACCCAGCTCACGTACCTTCACTGTCCGGCATGGTGCCCACACTATACAGGTACAGGTGGCACTCAGATGAGCGGAAGGCACATACTCCTGGTGGAGAGTTTTACTGTCGGTGCTCCAGATACGAAGTCTGCCGTCCTGGGCACAAACAGCTAAGTACTGGCGTGATTTAGGGGAGAAAACGCACGGGAGATGCAGAGAAGAGCTACCACCGTCGGCCGCCATTTCTGTAACGCTGCTTGCGCATGCTACGGTTGCGCACGTGCGGTCTGTTGTGGACATGCGCAGTAGTGCGTCGGGAGGACTACCAGCGGCGAAATGCATGATTTTACAGGAAGGTCCCGCCTTAACTAAATCAAATAGCCAATCGTATGAGAGTCCTTCTACCAATCAGAGATGAGAAAGGCGGGGCCTTCCTCTACGATCATACATTTCGCAAATAAATGGAGCACAAAAACAAGACATCCTAGAGCTCAATGAATGAAACATTCTTATTAAATACTTTGTTCTTTACATGGTTGAGTGTGCTGACAACAAAATCTCACAAAAAGTATCAATGGAAATCAAATTTATCAACACTTGGAGGTCAGGATTTCAGGCCACACTCAAAATTAAAGTGGAAAAGTGGAAAAACACAATATAGGCTTTCACAATAAAGCTCTGATGAAATTTAATGTTCTTAAATCAAGTGAAAATGAGGCTTGGTAGTGTGTGTGGCCTCCACGTGCCTATAAGACCTCCCTACAATGCCTCGGCATGCTCCTGATGGTGGATGGTCTCCTGAGGGATCTCCCAACTCCTGGACAGTCTGTGGTGCAACATGGCGTTGGTGGATGAAGTAAGATATGATGTCCCAGATGAGCTCAACCAAATTCAGGTCTGGGCAATGGGCAGGCCAGTCCATAGCATCAATGCCTTCTTCTTTCAGGAACTGCTGACGCACTCCAGCCACATGAGGTCTAGCATTAGGAGGCCTGGCAGTGCCAACCACACCAGTATTTGGTCTCAGAGGGAGTCTGACGATCTCATTTCAGTACCTAATGGCAGTCAGGCTACCTCCAGTGAGCACATGGAGGGCTGTGCGGCCACCCCACACCAAAACTGACCCGCTGCCAAACCGGTCCTGCTAAAAGATGTGGCAGGCAGCAGTACATTCTCCACAGCTTCTCCAGATTCTGTCACGTCTATCACACGTGCTCACTGTAAACCTGCTTTCATCCGCTTTCAGGGCTCCTTCTGCTCCTTTTTGAATAAATGCAAAGGTAGCAGTCCTGTGGCTGGGTTGGTGGTCTCCTACGGCCTCGCATGCCTCCTGATGTACTGGCCTGTCTCCGGTTGGCGCCTCCATGTTCTGGACACTACACTGACAGACACAGCAAATGTTCTTGCCACAGCTCGCATTGATGTGCCATCCTGGATGAGCGGCACTATGTGTGAGTTTTAAAAGTAATAATAAAAACATTTGTATTACTCTATTCCAGGTCATAACAGATGGATTGCACCGCGC